TTGATTCGGTCTTATAGTGCCGGCAACTCATGCATTAGATAGTAATGCAAGTCATCATTGAACCACATATCCATCGTATACAGCAAGCCACTCGAGAGCATGCCAAGGAAGCGTAGCACGATCTACTGCTCGAGAATACAGAGATGAAACATTTAATGTCATGAAAATCGATTTTATTTAGCGGAACTCGATTATCAGTATCAAGCGTGAGCTGACACGATTAGCTCATGAAGGTTCCGTGTTCGTTCGCGCGATGTGCTGCTCGCTCAGCTTGGAGTCAATAGTCAACCTGATCCCACGTCTTCAAGGGACGTTGGTTATATGTTGTCAAAAGAAGGGCTGGACGATGAATAGAAGCAGTATCGCTTCAGAAAGCTTTGTTGGAGTTGGTACTAACGAAAGTTTGTTACTTTCTCAAAGTGGTGTCACCCACGCGTTCTCACAGCTGGTGAAGACGCTCAGGCGAACAGTAACCACCACTTGGCCTTACTTCATCAGTAGTGCTATCCCATGCGGAGATTATGTGTCCGCAACCGTTTTATGAGACTTGTTGAATCAAAGCTCAAATACTTTCGTCATGTAGATACCCCGCGGTAAAGTTGAGACAGAAGTCGAAAACCTAAGGCTCATGGAGTAGTAGGAAGCTCGCCTTCCAGAACTAGGTACCATATACTGATGAGCCTAAGGGTGCGGAGGATCTATTGGACTAATTTTTCGTATCTAGCCATGACACTTGAAACGTCTTCTTCGCTTTGCATAGCTAGCTGAAGATGCGATTTTATCTGGTCACGAGAAAAGTTGAGAAAAATCCAGTGGTTGAAAAGCTTTATCCACTTATCTTCGATTAATTTTGGATCATCCAGTAAAGAAATTTGATCAACGATGGATTGAGTGTATTCTTTTTCGGCTTCTTCGATACCTTCTGTGTTGTGTCGCGCGTTATTGATGGAAAGCTGGAAATCCGGCGTTTTTTGCAAAGTCGATTTAATTTGATCGTAATATCCCAGAATCTGCTGCAAATTTTCCCGTTTCAAGTCAGAATGTTGAAGTATGAGATGTACGCGGTCCTGAGTGTAAAAGTGGTTGATCCACTGCGTCAAAAGATACTTCCAGTCGTGTGGGATGGAATTTGGGCCCACAAAATCAGGGGATTGTTTTGATTGCATGATTTGTTCTCTGCTTATGACAACATTTGCAGCACGGACGTCTAGTATGACAAGAGATTGAGTGTGAAGAGATCTATGATTCATGTAATTGATAAATACGCTTAGAGCTTCCTCTATCGACGTAGTGGTCTTGATAAAGTCGTAAAAATCCAAAATGTTGTTCACGGTCGATTCTTGGTACCCAGCTGCACGAAATATCAATTCCACCTCCTTGTTTGAAAAGCCATACAAATTTAATCCATCCAACCAAAAACCCAAACGATTCGAAACAAATAGCTCTTCTGGTAGACTAATTTTAAAGTATGAAGCCATATACGTAGCTATGTCAGTGTAAGTGTCCGACTGCGGGTAAACTTCGGCGAAAAAGCGTTGGATTTCGTGTTTTTGCTTTCTGTCTACCTCATTGAAATATTTTTCCAGTAGTGCCAATAAATGAGAGTTCTGAATGATGTCCGAAGAGTGCAAGGTTTGTGCTGGTATAGCAAATTGGAGGATATGTGACAACTCATCATTGATATTCATAAGTGTGGAAAGCCAGCTTTGTTGAGGATTTGGTCCTCTCAGCAGATTTACTATTTCACGACGCACTGTCCTCTCTTCGTCACCAATAATTTTATGATGTGCTCGTGGGGCGTGCACCCTTAGTCGTCGATCGGTTGCGAACTGTTCATTGCCCGTGAGAGTTTGTGCCGAGGTAGAGAGCGCTGCCAAGTTGTCGACCAGTAGAACCATAGCACAAAGAAGATGTAGCAGGAAAGAAACATCTGGTACGCGCATAGTGATCAAGATGGAACTTGCAGGAATGTGTTGTGAGTATGAATCAGCAGGATGAAAATGAACGGTTCCCATATGGCTTATCAACGGATGTATGCATTCAGACAGATGAGCATGCGTTTGCCATCATAGCCTGAACATTTATGTGAGAAAGTCGCAAATCACTCAAACGTTTGTCACACTGTCAACTGCTGATATATCATGTCACACACGTTTGTGGTGCTTTCAGACGTGCTACAGCGTTGTTGATTGAACTAGATGCATCCGTTTGACGTGGCAGCAGCAGATAACGCACTCAAACGTTTGTCACACTGTCAATAGTTGAGATATCATGTCACAAACGATTGTGGTGCTTCCAGACGTGCTAAAGCGTTGTTGATTGAACCAGACGAATCCGTTCGTCGTGGCAGCAATAGTTTACGCACTCGAACGTTCGTCACACTA